GACGATGGTCTAATAGCCGCAAACATTAATACAAAAACACAGGCATAGGTTAAATCTTTGCATTACTTGAACAAATATATTTTTTAACTTCTTAGTTACTTTGCAGGTATGCTAGGTAATTTATGTTTCTCTTTTCTCCTTTATGTTTTCATTTAGAAAGGCAGTGTCTCATTTAGACACTGGCCAAGTGTTAAGCAATAAAATTTAAAAAACAGCGTTGTTCATAAAAGTAGGAGTGAAGTGAAATTATGGACTAAAGAAATAGCAGACTTGGCAAGTGGCAACAATGTAGATATCACTGTTTTGATAGGCTGACTTTTTTGGGTATGGAACTTGGCCCTTTTTTCACGGTTAGATTTTTGTTTGGGATAAACGTTTTCTAAACGATAATAGAAATATTAAACAATAACATAAAATAAAACATAAATTAAATAAATACAAATAAAACAAGTAATTTCTAATTAATAAGACTAATCTAGAGGTTTTTTTTCTTCTAACAAACTACCAATTTGGGCACACACCAGTTTCCTCCCTTTTAAACCAGGTACACAATACAACAAAACTAATCTTATTTTTAATAATTTCACATAAATACTTGCAATCTGCATACTACCAAATTGTATATTATTTTAGAATAATCAATTATGTGTGTATTTTACTTTGAATGTGCAATAGGTAACCGATAGTAGTAATTGTGTATTTTGTTAAATTAAAAATAAGCATCAATAATTGAATTTATCAGTTGTGGTATCTAAGCTATAATAATATATGCGTAACAAAGTTCAATAGTATCTCAACACTCCAGCGTATACACAAAAAATTATTCATCAGTATTACGTTACTGTCGTCGCAGTCTCTTTCAAAACATGTTTTAAGAAATATCGAAAATTAAATTTTTGTTTATTTTACAATATTTATTTTAGGTTAATCGTGCAATTATTTTGTTTTGTTTTATACTCTTTATTTATGTAGTTACAAGTATACCTATAGACTAAAACAGTTTACAACATTAAAATACATAAAAAAAATTAATACAAAATAATACCTAGTACCTAAACATTTTAAAACTTAATTTATTTTTGGATGTTTATATTTGTTAGATATAATTTTTAGGTACCTATTCAAAACAAGTAATTTTATTTTAATTTATAAAGTTAATTTTGTTTCTTGTTCTAATTATAGGAATAATTTTGGGTCTGTGAGAGCTACGAATTAAAATGACTGGTTCAGTCTTATTGATATTTTAAAATATTAATAAATTTAGTTGTGGAATTGTGAATTGGAACGATTCACAGGCATTTGTTGTGCATTGTATGTTAAAAAATTTTTTTGCCCATATGGTTGGTGGAAATACTGAGAACTCTGCTTTATAATTTTCTACTATGTAATCCGCAAACTCTATCAATTTTTTGTCGGACGGAATTATAGAGTCCAAGTCTAACGAAAAAACATTGCCAACTTCGTCTGGATCCAAAAATGACAAACCTAATATGTGTTGTGGCTTTTGAAATCGCCAAGGAAGATGAAAGGTGATGGGATTTGTTTTATAATGTTTTCGATATCTGAAGTATTGAATTGAGTCTGATTAGGAAGGTATATATTAAAAATGGTGAATTTTGTCTCTAGAGTGATGGTAACGACGATTGCCTCTAAATTAGTGTGTAGAGTAATTTCTTCGCTCGGAACAGATGTGTTAACAAGGATAGCAACTTCACCACTAGCTCTTAAGTGTTCGGTACGTTTTTTCTTAAATAACGAGAAGCTTTTAAATGAAGAAACATGTTGGTCTTTTAAGTTGATTTCCTAAAAGGCAAATAGCTATAGGATTGTGCTCTTGGATTATAATTTTAAGGTCGATAATCTTTTTGTAGAAACCGTTTATGTTCCACTTGAGGATAATGTTAAAAGAGTTGTTGGGTTGTGTATTAGTCATTTATATGTATTTATGTATGTATGGATAATTAATTTAAATAAACTATGATAGTTTAATAAATTGTAAGAAAGTTTTGATATGGATCTTTAGTATAAACTAAGAATATTGAGGTATTATCTGAAACAGAAGGTTAGCTAATTTTGTAATTTATTTTTTATTTTTCTGCTCGTTAATGTTGAATGGATAATGTTGACTGTTTTAGAAAGTTTTTGTAGGTCGTTTTTAGAATTTTTAGTGTTAGCTTTATATATCGGTTGGTCAGTGTAATTTTTGTTGATTCTAGCAGCTAAAAGTTTTGACATTATGGTTGGAGAGGTTTGTGTTTTAATACATTTAGTATCTAATGAAACGGACATTTAGTCCGTTTGAATGTTATATTATGCGGTTTGTTATATAATAACGCCGATAGAGGTTATTGTCATATTACGTCCTGTAGTAAAGACCCAGCTATCGATAAGCAATCAAAACGCGATAAAGGGAAAAACACGTGATGCACGATCGAGAGGCAAACACGAACTGGTTTCACTTTTATTATATTGTATTTTTGTATTTAATTAATAGATTTTTAACGGCCGCGAGTGCAGAGAGTACAGATCGTAATATAATATAACATATGAATAATAATAATCAAACTGTTCTCAAGACATTCGGAAATATGTAAAAAATCGGTATTCAAAAGAACTCAATTCACTGCAGTCGGTGAAACTACCCAAATTATTTTCTTTTTTGATTTAGTTCATGTCCCCATTTTATTTTTTTCGTCTTGCTTGACTCGAGGCAAGCAGAAGAAGCAATGGCTTCTAATATTTGAAAACTTTCCCCTAAAAATGTAATTAAGTCATCCACCGGTGGTATTTTATCTTTAGTGGAATTCGTTTCCCACTCCTTTAACTTTTCCTTGTCCAATTTTGCACAAACTATATGTAACAATAAGGAACCCCACTGCCTTGAAGTTTATTCATAGTACCGGTCAACGTGTCGGTAAATAAACTGCCTCAACTTAACTGACGCTCCGTCGACTAACGGTGCTCTCCAATATTTTATCATTATTGTATCGTTTGATTAAACTCGACCGAGTTGACCTATATTTCGTTTCTGTCGTTTCCAATGACTTAATACTATTAGCAGCGTCCCCTTGCAATGACGATCTAAGGAAAAAAAATTTGTATTGTATTTAGGCTTGCATTGTCGTGTTTTAATGCCTTAATATATCTCTTCATATTTTCCCGAAAAGGTAGGAATATCTAACACCGCTAATTTCACCATAGGACAAATAATGTTTGCTTGGCCACTTCCGTCATTACTTTTCTTTTCCGTTTTATCTGAATTACGTTGATCTTCTTTATCTTTCAAAATCGTCTTTGCCTCAGACACGACTTTGAAATTATAGATTTTCAAAATCTTTTCGCTATCAATACTTCTCGGACAGGTTATTTTTAACCTCTTCTAAATCTTCAATAGTTGCTGGCACTTATTGGAATTCATCTCAGCTACGCCTAACCGTGGGCTTGGACTGTATAGAGAGGCGATAAGATCGTATAGCCCTACTGCTTTTACGTTCTGATATTAAATGCGAATAGCTACACCATGCGAAAAAACAATAGCTTATTTTCTACTTTATACACCTATACCTATACAGCATGTAGCCTATACAAAAATTCGTGCCTATATAACGTTAGGAATTAACACTAATTTTACACTGGAATTAGAAAAATAAAAGGAACTATTGCTTTACCTTTACGAAATTCTTCCCATGGGTAACAAATCCTTTTCACGAGAGGTCTGGCTATCGATGAATCTGTTGTTGAGTCTTAGATTTACACTATACGCACACGCACTATTACTTTACGCTCGACATATAAGATAAAAATACGACACTCTTTATTGCGTACTTGCAAACTTAACTAGATAAATTTATTATTCGACACTAGTTAATTGCACTAAATTAACCGCATTTCGACGCTAATTCATAATCACGGTCGAAGGACCAAATGTTTGGGACCTTGAACCCATCGCAGGTGTACTGTAACTCTTTTATTTTAAATCAAAATTCCGCTTCGGTTAAATTTTGTTTATTTTAATAAAAAGCCAAACTGTTACGACATGCGTACAGAGAACCGAACGACGACTAACAAACATGGTCCGCGGAGGGACTCAACACTACAACAACCGGTTTTAACAATAATGATAATACACAAAACACAACAGAAACTATCACATAACCATGTTTCACATGTACAAACAAAAATATATATAAACAAAGAAACATTACACGTAATAAAATATATTTTGGTTCTAAGACCTCAACAGTTTTGGTAGAAACCGAGAGATAGCTGGACATCTTGACGATTTAGTTTTTTGACTTTCCATTTAATCATATCCGGTTGTAGATGACTCCAAAATCTCTTTACAATAACTACATCTGGCCAAAATGAAGGTTCTAAAACATCATTGAATTTGGTAAGCGGCAAATGAATATGAAATGACGCATAGTTGGATGTTGAGTGACTAGCTGTGTCACTGTGACATCATCAAATTCAGAAAACATCAACATATTTACTAGTAGAATGGTATAAAAGAAAATAAATACAAATGTGCAAAAAGCAGAACTTGTTATCACTGAATGTGATATTATAATATAATGATAAAAATCAGATAACATACACTTGGTTCAACAGGTGCATCACATCAGCAAAAATAAAATGTACCTTTTCACTATGACATGCGTTTTTTTGCATATGATATCATGGAAATCGAAAGCTTTTTAATATTAAAATTCAAAAAATAAATATATACAATTTTATTTATGTCTAAAAAAAGTCATATTTTATTTTTACCTTATTACTAATGATGTATACAGAGTATATTATGCCATTTGGTTTTTTGCATTTAAGTAAATTGATAAACATTTTTGTGTACGTAGTTAGAACCAAAATTAACAAACAAACTAACATACTAAATTATACCGCGGACACGAATAAAACAGGTTGATCATCTTGTAAGAGGGAGCAGTAGACTCCAGGAGTCGATATTTAAGCACTGTCGATTCCATTTACCTGGAATTGATTCACCAGACCTTGCACTTTTTTACAGGGTTCATGTATGAGCCTTGTGGGCAGCTAAAGTCATTGGCAAAGTCCTGTTGGTTCTGAAATGAGCCAATCACACGGAACTGGCCAGGCGAATGATGACCCGTCAAAACACTGTGTTTGAGGGCTTCCGGGCGGTACACAGAACACCATATGTTGGCGGCGTTTATCCAAAACATTTGTCGGGGCGAAAATTCGTTGAGACCTGGCAATCGTGGCTCCTTCTTGTCCATAGAATACCGACGGTAAGCATTATACGCCAGCATCACGCCTCCGTTGTCGGCAATGTTCTCTCCAAGAGTATATAGCCCATTGACTCGCAGTCCTGCTGCCTCGTCTGCAGTGAAATTATTATACTGTTGTAGAACGCATAAAGCTCGATCCTTAAACTTGTTGCTAGTCTCCGTGTTCCACCACGTACGAAGGTTACCCTTCTTGTCGAAAAGTCGACCCTGATCGTCGAACCCGTGGGTTATTTCGTGTCCGATCACGTAACCGATGCCACCGTAGTTCATATAATTGGGACGGTCAGCCGAAAAAAACATCCCTTGCAGTATACCTACAACGCATACAAGTCTGACCTGGTAAATTTGAACGAAACCGCATAAAAAGAATTTCAGACTTACCCGCAGGAATTTGTATGCTATTTTCTACTAAATTGTAAAATGCGTTGACCACAACCGCTCGACCGTGAGTGATCCAGTGGGACTTATTGACGGCCTCGTGTAAAAAACCAAAGCTCTTGTCGCAACTCAGCTTAGACAGTTGCAAAAATGTTTGAAAATAATCATTGTCGTTATTGATTTTCAGTGTTTCGTAATAGCTGTCCACTGTGGTAGTGTCCAACAGTTCCTCCGGATAGGCCACAAATTGTTCTATGGCCTCGACTTTGTCCAACGCGTTTTTTCTCGTCGAAGGATCCATCCAATCTAAACAGTAATAGTCTTATTTTATTGTCACAACTCACTGATAGAAAAGGCTCTCGATTCTTTGCATCTATACCTCACCGCAATTTTTACTATGCTCTTGTTATTTTTTTGTACTTAGTATTAGTTGGTAACTCAATAGGTACCTGATTTCAAAAGTGTCTGATACATTTCTTTATGGATGCGCACCGCCATATCGAAAGCGGCATTCTTGGCTTGTTTATCGAAATTATGTATCACGTACATAGAGCCCAGAGCCAAGTGCATTGCTGAAGAAACTATGTCAACACATTCAGTCCACCTAGGTTCACGGGCAGGACGCCCGTACCACTCTTCATACAAAAGTTGTTGGCGGTCTCTGAGACGTCGATTTGTAAACGTCACGGTCGTTGCTGTTGCTCTCCAAACTAGATAATTAGCCTGCACCCGTTTGGGAGTAGATTTCAGGATGATATCGAGGTTTGTCAAGTAATGTGGCATATTCAACATAAGTTCATCGCTGTCACGGACGCACAAGTTTGCCGGGCCGCAAACTATTCGGTTGACGTACTCGCTCCAAGGCACCACTGGATAGTTGCGAGCCAACTCGCACAATGGGATTTCCGAGTTGAAACTACCTATGTCTGACAAGTTCACCTGTGATATTCTGGCAAGCTGTATTTCTAGTTCAAGCGCCCGTCTGAGTTCAGTAACAGCTCGTGACCGTTCTGCTCCCAGCTCTACGGCTACGTCTACCATGTAGTTGAAGTAGGAGCTGACCATTTTGTCTCCAAGTCCACGTTTCAGATAAAAGGGATTTAACCCCAACGCGGCTCGATCGATTTCGATTATGTGTGCAGCTGTGTTTTTATGATTTACCTTAACGGACAGGTCGATCATGAAGTCAACACTAAGGCCGAGATCTCGAAACTTGTACACTGTATCGGTCCATCGAAAACTAGACTCGTCCCAGCGGTCACCACATAACACCGGCCATCCACCGATCTTTTCAAGCATCTCACGCAAAGCTTCCGTTTCTCGTTCTTCAAGTTTCTTCTCGTCCATACACATGGCAAACAACTTTTTTGCTCTCACTGAGTGCTTCGGCTCATTAGTTTTGATCGGCTGGTCGAGAATTCTGCGCAAGTCATCCACGAGTACATCATTAACCGCCTCGTAAGTTGTTCGAGACGTCTTGTCGTCGTGTACTCTGGCACCAGCTGTGAATTTCCCACAAGCGAACTTGTAAAAATCGTCGCAAGGATTTACCGACTTGTCGATGTTAGCCAATACGGAAGCCGCGGATTTGACACAGCCTTCCGACACGCATATGTTGTTTTGTTCGTCCTCAAGTAATTTAGCAGACAAGGTGCAAAAAACAGCGAACCAGTAAGTACAAAGAAATATTATACACATTCCAAACTACAGTACAAAGTGAAACAATAGAATACAAATTAAGGATATTGCCAGATATATAATTTATACATAATAACATCATTCAACAACTAGAACATGTTACTGGGCACTGTATAAGAGCCAATAATAATAATATAAAATAAATTTGCAAGCCTTTTTCCACCATAATATAAATTGGGTGCTTTAATTCAAATTATTATTATAATAATTCAAGTTTAAACCTTGCTATCACCATAAATACAAATTAAATTTCCATTAATTATTTTAGTAGAGGTGGAGTTTACTTTAAACTGCAATTAAATAACTAAAAATTAATTAAAATCAGAAATCATCTTTATTGTTAGGAATGACGGAGTTGTTAATAATTACAATTTTAAGGAAAACACAAATATTATTATTAACGTAAGCTATGGTCTTGCATAAAGTTCTTTTCAATATAATAGACTGGACTTGTATCGTTAATTTCAGAACAAACTCTAGTCAGTACATTAATCCAATATTTTTTCTCGGTTTCTATTTGATGTGTTAATCTTGTATCAATTTTTTTTAAATCTGATGCAAGTTCTTTCATTTTATAAGAACATAATTTGTGTTCAGATGAATTTTCATTGTATGAAATGTTCTTAGGGTGTTCCCAATCTGAAAATTTTTTTTTTTGAAAAATTAGTTTTATTCTCAAACAAAAGACATGGAACACGATAAACTGATCCAGTACTCTCAGAATAAGATAAATAATCTCTTTAGCACGTTTCAGTTGGTTAAAACGTTTCAATCCAATGATTTAATAGCCTGGTGGAATGGTTTTTAAAATTTTGTTTATAGAGAGACTGCAGATGAGGTATAGCAGAACGCTCTGGTGGACAATAGGCATATTATTGTCGGAACTCGTTTATACGTGTTATATAGGAATTTTTTCTTAAAAGCACTACAGTTTAGAACAAATGATTTTATCAATTTTTTGTATATCAAACATATTGATAAAAATAAAAAAATATACTATAATATAATAAATTTTACATTTTTCAATACTTTCTTATAGGAGAATCTACCGACATTAGTTTGTTAGGTGGCCGCTGCAAACGCAAGTTGTACACCTGCAGTATATCTATATGAAAATGTAATTGCAAAATATTGTGAAAATATTTTTATGTTAAGACATTTTGTTCTACAGAAGTGGTTTTTTTGTTTTTTTTTCAAGGATGGGAGTGGCAATTGTTATTTAGCATATAGACATTAAATTGTTAAATCTACCATCTGTTGATGGTTAAGGCCATAGACTGAAAGCCCTTCAGGTCTCATAATCCTCATCCAATAGTGTTCAAAATAGTTAAAAAGTTGTTGGAAAGGTTTAAAAATGTTCTGTTGCACAGCTATAACTAAGGTCCGGATAAATATTCTCTTAAAACACCTAAAATATGATTCTAATATTCTCTAAAAAACCTACAAATATTCTCCATATATTCTCTTAAAAATTAGAAAAATAAACAAAAATAATGAATTAAAATCAATATTTCCTTTATTGAATATAAAATAATAATATATATTAAAAAAAAAAAACAATATTCCTTTGGTATGATGATTATGGTAGTAAATTAATATTTACTAAATATTCTTCTAAATTTAATTCTGACTTGAATTAAATTGAAGTACAATTTAAATTACTTACTACTTATTTAAATTTTATTATAAGAGTTAATAATTATGTATTTCTCGATATTCTCTGGGCTCATGTTAGTTCTTCTATCGCTTAAAATGTGTTTGTAGAGGCTAAATGAACGTTCAACATCAAGTGATGTTAAAGGAGCAAACTTCATATCAGCAACTACACTAGGGGTGAAATGTTCTGGGAGATTTTCATTGTTTCCAGATAAAATGTTTCCAACTTTTCCTAACATTTGGTAGCCTTTATTTTTTCACATAATTGAGTCACTTTGGTTTTCATAGTGTTACCCTTTTCACCAGGTTATTGGTCATTTTGTAAATTTTTGTTGTTCTTATCAGCATGAAAACGATGCAGTATTGCAGGTTAGCCACCATATTTGGTAAACAGCACGGCACGACGCGGCGACTTAATAGTACTATCACTGTGTGTATTTTTTTTATGAAAATATTAATTATAATAATTTTAAAATAAAAATAAATTATTATGTTTTTCTCACAATTTGCAAAATATTCCAAAATATGCTAAATAACCTAAATATTCCCTAAACAATGAAATATTCTCAAATATGCAAAAAAAACTTTTTCCTGTGAACTCTGTGATGAATGAATCGTCCACATTTTTTACCCTCATAAGACTGCATATACTCAGTAACAATATGTAAAAACATATAAATCCGGACTTTAGCTATAACCCTTACCATCAACAAACGTTCATCAATAGATAAACCTCTGATGCCATTTTATTGTGGAGGTAAATGTGCAAGAGCCATTAACTATTTAATTTAAACATAAAATCAATTGCTTGAATGTATTAAACTTAAATGTAGGAATATATGTTTTTAGTACCAAACGAGTTATATTGCGGGCTGTTCCGTGTTGTCTGTTATTAAAGCTGCCAAACCCATATTTCTGACAGTCTTATTATTGCCTACAAATTTTAAGTATGTCATATTATAATTATTCAACACTATTTTAGCGCTGAACTCTTGACATTATTTAAGTACTTATTTAATGAAAATATGAAATATATTATTTATTTATTTAGTCGCAACGTTATTTTAAAAGGTGTTTAACGAGTTATAAAAATAAAAAATTACCTTTATTACATGAAAACATAATTTGTACTACATAGTTAGTTTTTATTCAGTCTACTTGACTAGGTAGTAAATTATTATAAAATTATCCTTTAAATAAAAAAAATAACAATATTGTATTGATAACAAAAAAACATAATAGTCTTTAATTAAAATGTGAAAACACCTATGCATTTATAATAAAATAAAATCACCTGTATATAAAAACTTAATAATAATAATATTTTAATATTGTATATTATGTAGTTTATATTCAGTCTTCTTGACTAGTAAATAAGTAAAAAATTATCCTTTAAATATCAATAAAAATATTAGACCAATAACAATGAACTAAAAACATAATATTTATAATAATTACTAATAGTCATTAGAAACATCAGAATCTTCAAAATCAGACTCGCCAAGACAGTCTCTAATTGTCTCATTAGAATTCATATCATAGTACTCTGCATGAAATCTGTTAATCAATAATAATAATATTTGCATAATTTTATTATACATTTGTTAAATCAGTGTAAAATAGAATTAAAAATTATCTTTATTTTCTGGGATAATACCATTTTTGCCCAAATCCGACAAATCTTTAAATTTGACAGATGAAATGGGTATTTGTTTCATCACACCTGTTTCTAATTTTTTTTTTTTAGAAAAGTATTCCCAGAAGAATATAATATAGGTTTTCATTTACCTAAAAAGGATAAGTGTCGTACATGTTCTAAATTTGACAATATTATTAATTTGAATGGAAATAGTTCACAAGATGAATCAATCATAAATCATCAAAAACCTATAAATGACAAAGATGACTGTAAAGCTATGTTTCTAAAATATCAAAAACCATTAGACAATACTACGTCATTATGTGTCAGCTTTGATCTTCAAAAAAGCAGCCATTTTTCAGGCTAGTCTGCAACCATGATAGAACATTTTCATGTCTCGTTGAAGTACCGAATAAATTTAGAGTAGTGGTGGAATTGTAGATAATGATATAGTATATTAAGAAGCAGTAACAAGCTATTATATTAAAACGTCAAGTTTCTGGCTAAAATTGTAGTGTTTATTATCAGGCCAAAAGTAAATTGACATAAAGAATTAAACTATTTTTAATTTATTTTTCATTTCTATTTTGAACGTTGAACAGTACACATATCTCTTATCTCATACCAGATAACAGCGTAACGCTTTTTTTCGGTTATGTACCGGCTAATTCTCACCCCTATTTCCCGTCCCAAACCTCATCTCCGTGTGGTAACGCTTTTTTGACATTTTCATGTCTTAGCTCTGACACATAACCGAAAAAGCGTTATCAAAAAAGCGTTACCACAGAGCTAAGACATGAAAATGTCAAAAGTTTTAAATACTCCCAAGGGTGATAATATGAACTTATATTATAGTCGGAAATTTAGTACCTATAATTTAACCATTTATGAAAGTAGAAACCAAAATGCTTTTTGTTACTTTTGGAGAGAGACAATAGGTAATAGAGTTCGCGTCGAAATAGTTTCATGCATTTATAATTATTTTATTAGTGTTGACCAATGCCAACTATAACATCTATTGCATTATTTAGTGACTCGTTTGTAGGCCAAAATAAAAATAAAGCTATGTTTGCAATGATTTGGTATGTCCTTAAGTTTAAATTAAAATATATAACAGAAATTAAGTTAACATTTCTACTACCTGGGCACACCTAGCTAATAATAAAAAAATACAAGATATAAAATATTTAACAAGTCAATATTGAACAAACAATTTAAGACAATATTAAACAATAACAAAACGATATACATAAGAAATACCCTATTTTTTTGTATATACGCCTGAGCGGTTTTCACCGTTTGAGGAAGTAACCAGGCACCTTGAAATTCATGACCATATTCATTACGCGACTCAGGCTTCGGTAACGAGGGTCGTGCAGGTACCGGTCGGCCATCGAGGCTGCTGTTGACAGGATGTATGATGTACGGTAGGCGGGCGTGATGCCGTCAAAAATGACGTAGACGTTGCCTAATTCGTTGGGCACGACGCTGTGGTTGAACATCTCTTGTTCGCACACGCCTAACGTGAACAGCGTAAACGCGTCCAACAGCATGCGGTTGCGAACTACGCTGTGCTTAGTACAGTCGACTAGGTGGAAATCCAAGTACGGAATGGCCTGACGCCACGCTTCGTCCGGATTTTCCGGCGAGTAAATACACGAGTCGTTGAAATACAGGGCCAACGTCTGTTGAAATTGTTCCGTAT